TAATTTTAGGTGTTTAGTTTAGGTGTGAACAACATGAATAAAATTAGGGTTTTAAATCAACTTAGGTGAGATAGTTTAATTCTTTTAGGAAATTTTCATTTGATTTTTGGGGCATGGGCTATAGGGGTTATGGGTATAAGATAGATCCCCTTAGAAATCACTAGGATTCCCCTACTGCTATTAGTATACTGCTATATTTGATTGATTGGTGTGGTGTGCCCTCTGGGGATTATTATTTGTCTGTGTGGGTATTGGGATTGTCTGGGGATTGGGGGAGCTGAAGACTGATGATGATGAAGCCATTGTAGATCAGAGATTGAAGTCCAACTTCCAGAGTTGGAGAGGAGATTCCTGCTAGCAGATATTGAGAAGACTAGGGTTTAGGAGCTAGGCAGAGCTCTAGATTAGAAAGCTTGTTTCCCAAACATGGAATGCCTTGTCTGCATCCATCCTTTCCCTATGATTCAAAGTCTCTTTCAAATATCCACCTCCTTCCTTTGGAAGGATCAGTGAATGTATTTGAAAGATAGAACTTTTGAGGGGAAACTTTCTGTTTAATGTTAACAGTTAATGAACCACCCTTGGTAGGTAATTGACTGTCTGACATTCCTTCCCTTCATCTTGTTGACTGATGTTCATCTTGAGGACTGAGACTTGAAGAAAAGCCAGTGTAGATGGAAGACTGATGATCCAGACCCTGCTGGAAGGCTGTGGAGATGGAGGTTGATGCTTGTAGCTGTTTGATGATGACTTGAAGATAGATGTGGTGCAGAGCTGCTGTGGCTGTTTATTTTTCTGCTGTTATTCATTCTTGATGTATTGATTGGTTTTCTGGGCTGTATTGTTTGCTGTTTACCCTGTTGGGTTGAAAGTGAATCCTGTTCACTTTTGCCTATTGCTTTCTAGGTTCGAGGTTGAGTGGGACTCCCTTGCCTCGCTTGTATTGTTGCATCCATGCATTTTACCGTATTACTGTATATATCTGATATTGTTTCTGTTTCCGTCTGTTCCCTTAGGATCTCTGTTTCTCTCTGTGCAAGAGAGGAGCATGATAGACACTAGGTATTAACCCATGCATGATAACATTAGGTTAGTTTGTTTCCCTTCGCAACCGTAGGTTAGGGTTCTGTCTCTTCTTTCTCAAAACAAACAGAAAAACACAATAAGATTTCAAACACAATAAAAGACACTTCTTCCGTAAAAGAATGTGAACTCATCAAAACATCATTTTTGTCCGCTTGGACTGTTAAGCAGAAGAACCCTTTTTCAGAAGGAATAAAAATAATCAAGACAGACTTGTGTCGTACGTGGCCTGAACTACGTTAGCTCTGATCTTTCATGCTGTATGAAAGTACGTAGGCATAGGATGCGATATCCTAGCGAGCAACCTTCCCCTCCTTTCTCGTGGGTAGGCGAACTACGTTGACTCTGATTTCTCATTCCAGACGAGAATACGTAGGCATAAAGTGCGATACTTTGCCGAGTCATTTTATTTTTTTCATTTTTATTTTCTTTTAACCCTTAACCTTAGTGTAGATAGAATAACAATCCATACCCGAAAACAAGCGTGGATCCCGTCGAGTACGACGGACGTGAGGGGTGCTAATACCTTCCCCTTGCGTAACCGACTCCCGAATCCAGGTTTTGGTTGCGACGACCATACCTTTCCCGTGTTGTACGAGGTTTACTCTGAGCGTTCCCTTTCCCTTCCGTGGGATAAATAACGCGCGGTGGCGACTCTTCTGTTCAGCCGGCGCCGATTTTCGCAGTAGCGACAGCTGGCGACTCTGCTGGGGATCCAACGTCCCCTGGCTGCTAAGGACTGCGATAGTTCTTATGCATTTGGGATCCAACGTCCCTTGAGAGAGTCAATCCTAACGCTTGTTTTCCCGTCGAGGATTTTGTATGGATTTATATTTCTGACCTTTATTTTCAGCATTATATATATTGATTATTACTGCTGTATTGGGGTGTGATGGGTGGTTCTATGATTGAGAGATAAGCCGGACTTGGGCTTGAGTGCACCTAGAATTAGAGTAGAAAGTAGTGGGCGCGTGCCGGCTTTGCTTGCATTAGTGTCTCATGAAATCTACACTCGGACGAGGTTCTTCTGGTTGGCTTCTGTTTCTACCCTTTGGGTCGAAGGGGTTGTTGGTCAGCTGAATTGTCGACTCCGAGAACCGATCATTTGGAAGTTGGCTAAGTGAGGCCTCTTCAGGATTTGATGATGCCACTCCTTCTGGGAATCGTATCATCAACCCTGAAAGTCTGTGACGCCGACGACCGCATAGGATGCCATACCTTTGTCAATTACTAGGACATCCACCTGTGAGAGGGTTTGGGGTTATGCAGGTAACTAGACCTTCAGACTACCGGTTATTTCCTGATCAGAGATCTTGGGTATTTATGGAGAGTTCTGAGGTCTGTCAGAGACCAGTTGGAGAGTTCTGAGGTCTGTCAGAGACCAGTGAGAAGGTTCTAAGGTCTGTCAGAGACCAGTTGGAGATGTGATTTGAGGTCTGCCAGAGACCAGTGGGAGTTATAGTTTGAGGTCTGTCAGAGACCATTGTTCGAGCTTTGTTTTAGGTCTATCTGAGACCAGGGTATGAGGATTTCTAAAGAGTCTATCTGAGACTTCTTGATATGGTTCAGGCTATTCAGCTTCGGCAGTTGGTCCCTGTTGCATGTTACTTGCATTGCATTGTTTGCATATCCATTACCATTGCATCCCATTAACGCGTGTCTGTGCTGCAGGTGCATTTGCATATCCTCCGATTCTAGTGCCCAGACTTCTGAGTATTGACTATGGCCGGTTTGAGGAAAGCAGTTGCGTATAAGCTGCCTTCACCTGATATTACTTCTTTGCTTGGTCTGATATCTCTTGCTGATGAGGAGGTTAGGAGAAGCTTCAGAATGAATCATGGGAGATTACTGAGATTAGTCTGCAAGCCCACTGCTGATGAGATGAGCGGGCTGTACACCCTGATGCAGTTCTATGACACCGCATTGAGATGTTTTAAGTTTGCTGACTTCATTCTAGGGCCCACCATTGAGGAGTATGTGGAGTTTACTGAGCTACCCGTGCAGAACAAGGTTCCCTTTATTCACTCTGCTGCTGAGCCCAAGTTGGAGGACTTAGCCAAAGCCTTGCATATGGACGTTGCAGAACTGTTAGTTACTTCTTGGCTTGGGGTTTCAGGTTTTTCTCTTGATTTCTTGGTTGGCAAAGCTCAGGAGTATGCCAAGAGCGGATGTTGGGTGGTTTTCAATGCTATTTTGGCTCTATGCATTTATGGGATTGTGCTGTTCCCTAACTTGCCCAATTTCGTAGACTTGGACGCTTTCCATCTGTTTGCTGCCGGCAATCCAGTGCCAACATTGATCGGAGACTTCTACCACTCCTTGCACTACAAGAACGAAAACAGAAGGGGGAAGGTTGTTTACTGCTGTGCTCCTTTATTGAATATGTGGTTCAAGAGTCATCTTCCCATGAGGGGATCTTTTGTGGAGAATGCAACCACCGCTAGCTGGTCAGAGCGCCTGATGAGGCTATCTTCCGAAGACGTTGAGTGGTTTGATAGAGATCTGCTGGGATCCGAGCTTATCTTTAGTTGTTCCGATTACCCTAATGTCCCGCTGATAGGAAGGAAAGGGTGTATCAACTACAACCCATCGCTGTTGGTCCGTCAGTTCGGATATGCGCTGAAGAACCCGCCAAAGGAGGAGGAAGTACAGGAATCTCTGTACTTCACCGGTGATTTGAAGGGGGAGTTGTTAGCCAAGTTGCAGCATGCCTGGACGCGTATTAACCGAAGAGGGAAGCCGTTGTTAGGAAAGAGTGACTGTCAGGCCTATGCACCTTACAGGGTTTGGATCCAGGAGAGAGCAAGTCAGTTGCGGATGCCATTTCCAGATGCACCAATCCTTGTTCCTATTCCGGTAGTAGAGCCAACTATTGTTTCTAGGGAGGCCTACGAGCAAGTTGTGAAGGAAAAAGAAGCCTTGATGAAGATCAACGAAGGGTTAGAGCAAGAGATAGCCCAGATACATAGTGAGAAAAACAAGGCCGTGCATGCTTTCCAACAGCAGATCGAGCTAGTAAACAGACTAGGGGCTGAGTTGACTGAGGAGAGTGTAATACCCAAATTTTTACCCCTAAGATCCCACATTTCATTTGCATATCATTCCACAAACAAGATCTTACTTTGTGTTTCTTACTTGCTTTACGTTTGTTTCTGTTTACTAACATCTAACCAAAATGGCAAAAATATTTTTCAATTTGTTTGTTTCTTTTTTTTCTCTGTGTGTTTAGGGTTTTACAAGGAGACTAATAGCAAAGACATTCATTCAAATTTAAATCAGATGGACGTTTGACCTCATCTTGGTCAAACTATCAAGAGTTTGCTTCAACTATAAGTTACCCGTGGTGGCGGGTTATTTTCTCAAGAAATGTGTTTGTTCAAGGACAAGTTGTCCTGTGTCACGATTCATCAAGCTTTCAAGCAGTGTTCTATGAGAAGTTTGAGTTAGTTTTAATCGAAGATTCAGAGTTTTGTCTGTACAAGTCAGGTTTGATGGATGAAGTAAGGCCATGGCTTAGGGGATTGGATTCCAATTCATATGAGAAATTTCACAAGGCCTTAGCATATCACTTGGGTAAATGTGCTTTAAATTTCCTCGAGAAGGCATCTTTCTCTGATAAAGAGTTGGTGATCACTTTGTGCCGAACAACATTGATAGAGTATGCAAAATCTTCATTTAAAGATCAATTGTTCAAGATTGCCCAAAAGATGTGCTCCATACTTTTCATGCTGGGTGAGAATAAATTGGATATACTGGATTGTTTTGCTTGTGAAAACAAGGTTGACGAGGAAAATGCCGGAATCGAGTTTATTGAACTTGTATACTATTGTGTCCTTAAATGCCAGATTGCAAATGCAAGTTTTTGTCACACGTTTGCAACATATTTGAACAAAACAGCAGAACATTATAAACAGTTTATGAAACCCCCTTCCACTCTTTTCCTCAAAACCCAAATCCCTTCTCCTATATTGCTCTTCTCAATTTCCAAAGGAACGTTCAATGCTAAATTGCTTCCGAATTTGTGCTTCTGTAAGAGTATTCAAACGAGTTCGTGTGAAGTTGCTAAAGGAAGTTACGTTCCTACTCCCACTGTGGATTTGACAAAAGAAAATATTATAGTGGAAAAGCCATCTAGAACAATTGAATCTGTTGGAGCATTTCAAAAGTTGCCTATAGTAATGCCATCTATTGACATTCTGAGGTCTGCACTGAGAAAGGCGAGGAGGGTTTCTGCAACAAAAGGAATCGTCAATATTGCAAAAAGAGAGAAAAACAAAGGTGCAAAACAACTTGACGCGTTGATGAAAGAACTTGCTGTTCCATTGAGGACGTATGTGGAGAGCTTTCCCAATAAAAGACGCCTTCATCCTTATGAAAGGTCACTTATTGAGTTGACACTTGGTGATGGGTACTATGAAAAGGTGCTAAGGAATGTAGATCGTTTGAGGAAGAGGGTAGTATCTGTTGGAAAAGAACATGCTTCAATTTGTGCTAAGTCTACGACAAAGCGTGAAGCAGAGGAAAGACTCTGAGGGCAATGCTTGTAATTAATTTGGAAACATCAACTCTCTGCCTTGTTGGAGCCCCTAATGTAGGCAAATCTTCTTTGGTCCGTGTACTCTCTACTGGCAAGCCTGAGATTTGCAACTATCCCTTTACAACAAGAGGAATTCTTATGGGTCATATTATTTTTGACCATCAGAAGTTTCAGGTAACAGATACCCCAGGTCTGCTGAAGAGACATGAAGATGACAGAAATAATTTGGAAAAGTTGACCCTTGCTGTCCTTCAGCATCTACCAACAGCAGTTTTGTATGTTCACGACCTTTCAGGGGAGTGTGGGACCTCACCGTCAGATCAGTTTTCAATATACAAAGAAATCAAAGAAAGGTTTCCTGGACATTTATGGCTCGATGTTGTCTCCAAAGCAGATTTATTGAAGACCTCTCCTGTGATATATGCAACAGAAGACCGTGATCTCACACAACATGAGCTGGAGAAGTACCGTAAAGCAGGTCCTGATGGAGCTATTAATGTGTCTACGACCACACAGGAAGGAATACACGAGCTGAAGCACAGAGTGAATGAGCTTCTGAATATGCAGATGGCCAAGATCAGAGATGTAAGCAACAACCAAAAGAAGTGAAAGCTGCCTCTCTAATATTTATAAAGAAGTTTTCTGGTCAAATTGGGAGGTTGAAATCTTCATTTCTAAAAGTTAAACCAGCAGAATGTGGTCAAGCTCCAGAGCGGGGATGCAAGAAGTCGATGCCACAGCCCTAGTTCCTGTTGGACAAGATGCCAGTTCTGTGCAGCCAATTGGAAATATTGCTGAAAGATTTCAGGCTTTGTGCGTGAAGGATAGTGATGTTCTATATGAGGATCCTTATGTTCAGATTGGTATTAAAGCAGAATGGAGAGCTCATCAAGGTCATCTTGTTCTTGGGGAACAAGAATACTTCCCCTCTTATAGCTGTGCAAGCTTTAATATTGCCTCCCATCCATTTGAAGATGGAGTTCTCTCTAGTACCAGATACTATACCTCCCCGAGCACAAGTACAATGCCCACTTGAGATCATTAATCTCCACCCAAGCAGGGATGTTGCCGTTATTGACTTCTCATACAAGTTTGGTAACGATATGGTCAATGTCAAGCTTCGACTACCAGCTGTCCTAAATAAATTTCTTCAGCCTATAACTATATCTCCAGAAGCATTTTTCCCGCAGTGGAGATCGCTTCCTGGACCACCTTTGAAGCTTCAAGAAGTTGTTAGAGGCGTTAGACCACTTCCACTGCTTGAAATGGCAAACTTATTCAATAGTTTCCATTTGATAGTTTGCCCAGGGCTTGATCCCAATCCAAACAATATTGTTGCAAGTACAACATTTTATTCAGAAAGTACAAGGGCAATGTTCTGTTTGGTAAGAGTTGAAACAGACCCAGCAGATAGAACCCAGTTACAAATGACAATGATAAATGTGGCCCTACTAGATAGCCGTGCTAAGGAAGCAACCCGTCGGCGAGATGAAGCTGCACATGAAAATCAACCTTGTGGCAAGAAAAGCAGCAGATCAGGAGACAGAAAATGGAAGTCCGCCGCTGGTTGGAACGGTGGAAAATTCGTGGGCAAATCAGAGCAGCACAATGGAGTCATTGTTCTTGAAACATCATCTTTTCCAAAGGCCATTGATAACTATTCTTCATATCTTCATTATATCGGCAATCTCACTTCTGTTGCGCAGCAACATGATAAAAGCATAATTCAGGATGTCAATGGGCTATCAGTGATTATTCATAGGTCACTCCGAGACTTATTGTGTCAGTTTCCAAGTGTGGAAGTCATAATCAAGATTGAAGAGTTGAAAGCGGCATTAACAAATAAAGAGTATGAGATTATTACAGAGTGTTCTATATCAAACTTTTCAGAAGTTCCACATATTCCTTCATTGCCGAATTAATATTCCTCTATGGTATTAAATGATGCAACTGGAGATATTGTACCCGAGGTTGCAAATGGTGATGCTTCAGGGACCACAGTTGTTGAGTCCTCTACTCTTCTGAAAATTTGTGTGTCAATAAATCTGGTTGAGTTGAGGTGCATCTTTGGCCACCGTACAAGTCAGCAGTGCATGGCTACTCTACAAATCCAGTACAGCAAGTATTATTGTTAGTACAATCAAAGATGTTGGAGCTAATGCTATCATGATATCTCAGGCTAGTAGTGAGCATTCTGTATGATTTGTTGTTCCCTAGACGAAAGTAAAAGCTGTTGCACTTCGCAAGCGTCTTGAACTTGAGAAAGACAGGAAATCTTCTGCTGGTGGAAGGAATCATTCAGATTCGCCTCGTTTTTTTCTTCTCCAACAAATCTCTGAGCTATGAAAATGGATTTAATGTCTGGTTACAAGGGTGTTGTTGGGCTTGTTTTGGTAACGAGAATTCTTCAAATGAAGATAGGTATGTTGAGCGTTTGCTTGATCAAATAAGCAACGGTAAGTTACCAGATGATAGAAGGAATGCTATTACTGAGCTTCAGGCTGTTGTCTCAGAGAATAAAGCTTTCCAGTTAGCATTTGGGGCAATGGGCCTTCCTATAATGTTAGGTGTGTTAAAGGAAGAACGTCATGATGTTGAAATGGTTCGTGGTGCCCTGGAAACTCTTGTGAGTGCATTGACTCCTATTAATCATTCTAAAGGATCAAGTAACGAAATTCAGCCAGATTTGATGAATACTGATTTACTTTCCAGAGAAGAAGAAAGTATCCCTCTTCTTCTAAGTTTGTTGGAAGAGGATGATTTTTATGTACGATATTAAACTCTGCAAATATTGACTGCCCTTCTCACTAATTTTCGACAGAGGTTACAGGAAACTATATTGACTATCCCCCGTGGCATAACCCGGCTAATGGACATGCTTATGGATCGCGAGGTGATAAGGAATGAGGCATTATTGCTTCTTACTCACCTGACCCGTGAGGCTGAGGAGATCCAAAAGATTGTTGTCTTTGAAGGTGCTTATGACAAGATATTCAGTATCATAAAGGAGGAGGGAAATTCTGATGGCGGTGTATTCGTGCAGGACTGCCTTGAATTGTTAAACAATTTGATTCGTAGCAATGCATCCAACCAGGTTCCTACTATGTGGGAGCCTGATTCTGATAATAATTCATCTGTTGCGCTGGAACATGTAAAGTCTGCAGGTAATATGCAGGTTTGTGAGGAAGATTCTGGTACGAATGGTATCATTGCCATGCCAAATTCTGGTGCTACATGGGTAAGCAGACCAAGCAACCATCAACATTCTAATGTTGACACACGGAGGAATGCAGATTCTGTGGGGAGCTATGGAAGAAATGGAGGTGCAGGGAAGTATATGCATCATATGGAGAAGAATCCTTTAGTTTTAGAGTCATTACAGAACCAGAAGTCAGAAGGAGAAGCATGTGAAGTAGAAAACTCAAATAAAAAGGATAAATCTGTTGATGGTATGGAGTCTAATTCCTCCTATCATCGAGCTAGTGGCGTGAGAGAAAATTCCAGTTTTGACGGAAGTGATTTGCACAGCCCAAAGTTACCTGGTCAGAAAAATACTGCTAATAGCAACAATGTAACTTCTCTTAGAAGTGATCATTCTATAATAAATCCTCAAATGGCTCCATCATGGTTTGAGCAATATGGAACTTTTAAAAATGGCAAGATGTTGCCAATGCATGATGTACGCACAATGACTCCAAAAATTATGGACCAGCCTTTCATTGTGAAGAACCAATCTGCCAGTTTGCATCTTGGCAATTCAATGAAGTCAAGAAGAAGACTTGTCTTGACAACACAGCTTATGCAGCAACTACTTAACCCTCCTCCAGCTGAAGTTCTCATGTCAAGTTACATCATGATAGTGTGATTTATTCTGCTGTTAGATCAGTGCTGGGAGATTGTTGCAGTTCTATCTCAGTGTGTGGAAGTGATTCGCCAGTGCCAGCGGCTAGCAAAAGCCTCCCGCCCAATAAGCTTAAATCATCTGATAAAATTGACCAGTACATTTTGAAAGTGGAAGACTTTTCTGATAGGGCAAGGAAGCTGGAAAATGATATATTGAGATTGGAAAGCAGAGCCTCATTTTTGGACTTAAGAATTGAGTGTCATTTTCTGTCATCAATCGATTTGCCAAATTTTAGAGCTACCCGTGCCGGCAGAGATTTCCAAAAAGAAATTAAAATAGGAGCAAGATTTTCTGAGGAGTGTTGTATATATGAAGCAGAGCGAAAACGGCTCGAAATTGAGGTTAAGCTGAGAAAACAATTTGTCACTTATCCAAGCCATATTGCAAGCCATGTGAATATAATCTCAGCCATGTAGCTGACCCCACAAGCTATCCATGTCACTTAAATGAGCTACAAAGAGAAAAATTGCAAAACGACATGTAAAATACCAGCAAAAAAAATATCACGCACAACACACCTACTTCAAAACGGCAGAAAATTCTCACAAACTGCAAATCATTTTTCACTCATTCTCATCTATAAATAGAATTCATCCCTCACTCTATTCTTCAAGCTTTTCAAGCCAAAAAATCTCTGCTGATTTTCTTCCTCAATTCCTCACTACCAGAAAAACCTTCGTTCATTCTCTTCTCATACTTCATTCCACCAAATTAACTTCAAATCAACCTCAAACACAGATCAATTCAACCAGAGATTCGTTCAGAAGAAGAAGAGAAGCAAGAAGAAGTTTGGATTGATTTCTTACCTGAGTTTGAAGGTAGATTGAGCTTCACCGTCATTTTCGATCCGTTATCTTTTGTTGTGATTCTCTGAATTGTTGGTACCATTGTGAAGAGCTCTTGATTTCGATTGCAACCGTGTTAATTTTGCATCCCGCCGTTGTGATTTAAGCTAGCATCCATGGCCGTGAATGTTTTCGCGTGTGAGAGCTAGAAGAAGAAGATAACTCTGTTTCGTTTTCTCTTTCTGCTTTTCAATATTACTTTTCTTTTTATTTGTTTATTTTTATTTTCTTTTTTCATTTCTTAACTATGTGGATTTTTCCACATTTTTCTTTTATTATTACATTTATATTTTAATTTCATTTCTGAAAAAGCTTTTAAAAAAATTATTTAAAAATATTTTGATTAAGTGTTGATTGTTTTGGATCTTGATGTTGATAAGATTTCATCAATATCAATGGACTTTGGGTGTTGATTTTATCCACCAAGAGAGGTGATTGATATTGACGATAATTTAATCGATTCGAGATTCAAATTGTGATTTCATTTTCTTTTTTTTCTTCTTTTTATTTTTGATCGATGAAATCTATGGATCATAGATTGTTGATTATCAAGGTTGATTAATCTTCATTATTTCAAAACTATGGACGAATAATCATTGAGATAATTCTCCTTACTTTGGAATAGTGATAGATTACCTTTGATTAATTAATTAAAAATCTTGATTATGATGAGATCATTACCTCTTTTCTTTTTGTGTGGCATGTTTTAGGAGAGTGATTTACATATCACTTCTCTAACATGTATTAACACTAACATTTTATTGACCGGCCTCAGATAGTCGTGGTTTCTACATAAACCCGATTACGATTGCTTAACATAGCGCTAAATTGTCCCTTAATCGGAAAATGATCATTCGTGG